ATGTTTTCATAGTTGTAATGTTTTCCCACCAAATAAAACTACTGTAGATTTTTATGTAGCATGCTGTATGGGAAAATCTCACCAATTAGCTTCTCATTCTTCCTTAACTTCTTACACTACACCTTTACAACTTGTCTTTTGTGATCTTTGGGGTCCTTCTCATGTCAAATCTTTAATGAGATATCATTATTATGTTTCTTTTATTGATGCTTATAGTAAATATACTTGGATTTACTTTCTTAAACAAAAATCTGACACTTTGAACGCCTTTAAACAATTCAAGACATTTGCTGAACTTCAATTCAATCATAAAGTTAAGGAAATCCAAACTGATTGGGGTGGTGAATTTAGACCTTTCACTCAATATCTTACCTCTTTGGGTATTCATCATCGTTTGATATGTCCTCATACTCATCATCAAAATGATGTTATTGAATGCAAACATAGGCATATCATTGAAATGGGTCTCACCCTTCTCTCTTAATCATCTTTACCTATGACATTTTGAGATCATGTTTTTCATACTACAATGTATCTCATTAATCGTCTCCCAGCATAAAATGCTCCTCATCATATTCCCTATTGTACTCTTTTTAATAAAGAAATCAATTATGATTTTCTTAAAGTGTTTGGTTGTGCATGTTATCCTCATAATTGCCCCTATAATCATCATAAATTTCAGTATAGGTCCACGACCTGCACTTTCTTAGGGTACTCTTCGTGTCACAAAGGGTATAAGTGTCTTGACTCCAATGGCAAAATCTTTATTTCTAAGGATGTTATCTTTGATGAAAACACTTTTTCTTTTGCCACTCAAATTCACACTCTTTTGTTACCCTCTTCCCATTCTCGTCTCCTACCCCTTGGCATCCTTCCTAGTCCTATTCATAGTTCCAATCAGCATGCTACTCTGAACTCTCCAGTTGTTATGTCATCTCCTGTGTCTCAACCCTTTGTTTCTTCTCCTCCTGAGTCTCATCCTCCTCCTATTCCTATCCCTAACCCATCCTTAGCATTTGTTCCTAGTTCTTACTCTCTTCCATCCACTCATCCTATGCAAACACGTTCCAAATTAGGTATTGTTAAGCCTCGTTGCTTTCCTACTTTGCTTTTCACTATTGCATAACCATCTACTGTTAAGCAAACTCTCTCCTTTCCTCTTTGGAGGCAAGCCATACAATCTAAGTATGATGCTTTACTAGCTAATCATGGCAGCTCACTTATCTTCCTCCTGGCTAGACAGCTATTGGTTGCCAGTGGGTTTTTTGCATTAAAGAGAATTCGGATGGTACTGTCAATAAATATAAAGCCCATTTAGTGGCCAAAGGGTTTCATCAACAATTTAGATGTGACTATTCAGAAATATTTTCACCTGTGCTTAAGCCTGTCACTATCCGTATTATTCTTACCTTGGCTCTCACTAGTCATTGGTCTATTCAGCAGGTTGATGTTAATAATGTTTTTCTCAATGACATTCTTCATGAAGATGTTACATGAATCAACCCCTTAGTTTCGAGTCCATAGATTCTTCTCTTGTGTGCAAGCTTCAATGTTCCATTTATGGTCTCAAACAGGCTCCAAGGGCCTAGTATGATAGGCTCACATTTACTTTGCTTAGCTTTGGTTTTGTGCAGAATAAGTGTGAGCCTTCTCTATTAGTTCTTACCACTGTTGTTGATACTCTCTATGTTATCATTTATGTTGATGATATAATACTTACGGGCTCATCCTCCACTCTTCTCCAATCAATCATCTCTAAATTACATATTATTTTTGCTCTTAAGCAACTTGGTGAACTTGACTATTTCTTGGGTATTGAAGTCAAACATCTTCTTGACAGTTCTCTCATTTTGTCTCAAACCAAATATATTTGAGATTTACTTTTTAAGGCTGGAATGGATGAGGTGGCTTGAAACTCACTAGATTTGGGTCTGATTATTTTGATGATCCTGCTCTTTATAGGTCTATTGTTGGTGCCCTGCAATATATTACTATTACTCGACTTGAGATTGATTACAACGTTAATAAAGTTTGCCAATTTATGTCTAAGCCACTGACTGATCATTGGAAGGCTGTCAAACGTATATTGTGTTATCTTAAGGGTACCATCTCCTATGGTTTGCATCTTCATCCTGCTTCCAGTTCTATCCAATACACTCTTACTGTTGGGTTTTTTGAAGGGTTATGTGTATATGTATTTCTGATATATCATGTGTGTATTTCTATTCATGTACTCTATGTATATATAGAGTAAAAATATTACAAAATATTAAATATTCATAATATCTCAATCATAACAGTCTAAATCGAATAATAACCTAATGTCTTTTTACCTTCTCTCTTAAAAGATAATAAATTCTCTTAATACCTAATTTAAATAAAAGATAATAAAGTAATATTTCCAACATTCCTCCTTACTTTAATATCTATTTATTTGAATTTGATATATTTTTTCCTCCTTTTTTGTTTATACTTCTTGTTATTTTCTTTCTTGTATGAGATCACATCTTCATTCTTCACTTTCTTCATCAACATATTTCTTCCTTTATCAACTTCATCTCCTTTGTTTCTTTCAAAATTCATGGTAGTACTGTTGACTCTTTGATGCACGTTGAAAACGGTTTCTTCATCTACATTTTTATTTTCCTCCTTAACATCAAATTCCTTCAAGAAATCTTCTTCATGCTTTTTCTTTGACTTTTCTTTTATATCTTCATTTGTAATCATCTCTTCTTTCATCAAATCTAAAGTGAAACTTTTTCCTTTCATGTGAACTTTGAATATTTCTAAGTTATTTGTATCTTTAATCACACAAAGTTTGTGTTCAAAAGACACCTTATAACTTTTCTCCAATAATTGAGCAACACTTAACAAATTATGATTTATATCAGGAACTTTTAACTGCAATAATCAATTTGATACCCGAATGACTTTTAACTGCAATTGTTCCTGTACCTTTCACATTCATTTCTTCTCCATTACCAATTCTCACTTTAGAAATATGTGATTCGTTGAGCTCTTTGAAAAATTTTCGATCATGAGTCATGTGGTTTGTACAACCACTGTCTATTAGCCAACCTGTGGATTTTTTTATTGTAGAGCATGTTGATGCAAGGAGAAGTACCTCTTCTTCTCTATCCTCTATAACTTGAACGACTTCCTCTGGTTGTGATTTGCATATCTTTTCTATATGTCCCAATTGACCACATTTGTGACATTTCACATCAGGTCTCCACCAACACTTGTTGGGTGTGTGATTATTTTTCTTGCAATAAGGACAAACAGAAAATACTCGTGATTTTGTACCTTTGTTGTTCTTGGCTTGGACAGAACCTCCATCATGATATAATAAAGAACCTTCACTAGCAGCATGATCTCCTCTCATCAATCTTCGTTGCTCTTGTGCTTGTAAAGCATGTAACACTTCTGCCAAAGTAATATTAGACAAATCTTTTGTGTTTTCCAATGAAACAATTGATGCTTCATATCTCTCTGGCACAGTTACCAGAATTTTTTCAACTATTCTAGAATCAGAAAATTCTTTGCCTAACAATTTTATTTTGTTAGCAATACCTAACAATTTGTTTGAGTATTCATTAATTGTCTGAGACTCTTGCATCTTTTGTATCTCAAATTCCCTTATCAAGTTTAGAACTTTCATACCTCAAATTTTCTCATCTCCTTCATATTGATCTTTCAAATAATCCCAAATTTCTTTGGGTGACTTTAGCGTCATGATTCTGGTGAGGATCATTTGTGAAACACCAACAAACAGACATGATTTAGCTTTTGCCTTTCTCATTTTTCTTTCTCTCGTGAGATTTCATTTGAGCTATAATGGGATTTTCGGGTAGTGGATCAACAATATAATCTTCTTCTACAGCTTCCCATACATCCAATCCTTCAAGATAGGATTGCATTCTCACAGCCCATAAGTCATAACTTTCGCCACCAAAAACTGGAATAGCGACTTGTGAAAAGTTTCTTTCTCCTTCCATTGTGTCAAACCAAAACTCAGATACCAATTTGTTGGGTTTTTTTGAAGGGTTATGTGTATATGTATTTCTGATATATCATGTGTGTATTTCTATTCATGTACTCTATGTATATATAGAGTAAAAATATTACAAAATATTAAATATTCATAATATCTCAATCATAACAACCTAAATCAGAATAATAACCTAATGTCTTTTTACCTTCTCTGTTAAAAGATAATAAAATCTCTTAATACCTAATTTAAATAAAAGATAATAAAGTAATATTTCCAACACTTACTGCCTATTGTGATGCAGACTGGGCATCTAACATTGATGATCGAAGGTTCACCTTTGGTGCCTGCATTTTCTTTGGCAAAAATCTAGTTTCTTGGTGGTCAAAGAAGCAAACTCTAGTTGCTTGTTCAAGTGCTAAAGCCGAATATCGCAGTCTAGCTATTACCACTTCTGAAATTTTGTGGTTGCAATCCCTTCTTAACGAATTAGACATTCCTTGTGCTACACTTATCATTTACTGTGACAATCAAAACACAGTTGCTCTTAGTCACAGTGTTACACACAAGAACCAAACATATGGAGAGCTTGATATATTTTTTGTTCATGAAAAAGTGTTGAATTCTTCCTTAGTTGTTACTCATATTTTAGCCTAGGATCAAATTGTTGATATCTTGACCAAGCCACTCTCTTAAGCTTGTTTCTCTTTTTTGCTTTCCAAACTCAATGTCATTACCTCCTTCAATAACTTTGGGTTTGTGGGGGACAGGTAGCATATACTATTTTCTGATTAAAATCTCTTTTGGTTAGATTATTATTGTTGATTATATCTATTCTGTTATGATATGTTGATTGGGTTGTTAATATTTTATATGCTGTATTTTTTATTTTATTATTTTAGGTGTTTTCCTTATATAAAGGACACCGTGGAGAATATTAAAGTAATTAAAATATAAGAATATATTTATGATTCTGTCTTTCTCTTTTTCTAACTGTAAATTAGGTTTATCAACGGTCGGACAATGACTTCAATTTCTTTGTTGTTATTTGGACTATGCCTTCCACAGCTGCCACAACTGAAAACGCCCAACAGGATCCTGTCCCACCCACCAATTTAACCATATATTCAATTACAGTTCATTCATTAATCAGTTTCTCAAAATAAATTATGGGAGACTTCGCAAATTGAAAACAGCAATACATATAGCTTAATATAATTAAAACACAAGATGAAGGTGACTGCATACCACATCGCTTTTGGTCCTTAACACGGGTAACAGCTCCCTCCTCTCTCCAATCCAAGTTTCTTGGAATGTCAGTCCGAGTCAACGGTACCGTAACTGAGTCTGAGGTTGACCGTCCTAGCTGACTTAAAGTAGTCATCAGTCCGGTATGTGAAGCGATAAACTCTTCCTCCTTTAAGTCAGAGAATTGATTCAGCCCCAACTTGTAACTCTTGTTCCCAGCATTGTTGAACTTCTCTATGTATTCCAAGTTCTCCTTAAATATTTTTGAACCGTATTTGCTTCTCCGCATCATCAGCATATTTGAGTCCGTACTGGGACGTCCAGTGCTGGTATGCTTCAGCAACAGAAGATTCATACAATGTTCGGGACATGGCTGGGTATGCACGTGTCCACAACATCACAGCGCAAACAGCAATGACATGCTTAATTTCAACTGAAATAGCCATTTTCTTTCAGACAGAAGAGAAGAGAAGAGAAGTGAATATATTGTATGTAAGTAGCTATGAAAAGAGAGCATATACATTGGGGAATATTTATAGCATTCAAAATCCTATTGCTGCCAATAATCTCCATAGGTATAACTGTGACTAATCATCTTTTTCCTCATTACTCAAGTCACGCACCACGTGAGTAAATAACGTTTTGTGTAGGGTTTAAGACAAGAGGAGAGAATAAAAAAATTTGTAGTCAATCTCATTTTCATCAAATTCTATAATTGGACAAAATATAGCAGAAATTTACTTCACATTTTCTTAACCATGTCATGTATTTATATATATTTATATAAATATCGCCTAGATAATAGTTGAATTAATATTAAAAATTAATCATTAACAAAAGTTTAGGAAATAAATCATATTTTTATATATTAAAATGTGTGTTTCAATTCAATCATTTCATTATTATTATTATTATTATTATTATTATTATTATTATTATTATTATTATTATTATTTTAAATGGTTAGCAATCTAGTGTGTTTTTAAGGAAAAAAATAAAGAAGATGACAAGTTTTGTTCGGTTTGCTCTTATTATATATCAGATACATATAACAGTTTTCTGTTCAAAATAAAGATGCTGGAAAATAAAAATTTGTTCACCAAACTAAAATTTATATCTGGACATGGCTAGCTATGATGCAGGATGAAGAACTTTTCCTTCTTTTCTATGAATGTTCTACACAATGCTTAAAAAAATACTGTATACTATATATGTAAAAGTATTGTAATTGCTGTCAAACAGCAGTATATATGTAAGAAACTAAAAGGTAGTAAGCTATAAGGATAATGACAGGTTTTTACAGTGTACAAATTTTTTTTATGATGGGTCAATAGAGAATTATTGGTTTGAACAGAAATTATTTAGCTGGATTTAACCCATCCAACACGAGAAGATATGAAAGAATGACTTCCAGTGCCAAAAATCAGTAAGACAAAACTATATTCATACATGTCATGACATGATCCCATCCGTTTCACACCTTCTCTACTTATAATTTTATAACTTTATTTCTACAATAAATTTATATATATTTTTATATTGTTTTAGTTTTATTATTAAAATAATATGAATTTTATTCATTATTCAATAAACCCTATTAAATTAAAAAAAAATTTCAAAAAAGTAAGTAGGTATGTTGATATCATTTTTCTTATATAGTTTTTTTTTATAAAACCTTCTTTGTATATTATAGTGAGCTGTTTTTGATAAACATATTCTTTCTTCCTGGATCGGCGCATGCAGAAATGGAATTCTTTGATGGATGAAGTGGTATCAGCTAAGTTCGATTGAGTTCAAAACAAATGATATGAGACGACAAATCTTAAATTTATTGAGCACAATAAATTCTAAGCACTGAAACACTAGAATTAAGACCGAAAATGAGAGTTGGAGGATTAGAATTGGAAGGCTTGATTGCCGGATAATTGAGCTTCATTAGGCCATGATTGAGAATTATGTTTTCCCATGTATTAGAGTTTTGAGAATAAAATGTATTTCTTTATTCATTGATCAACTCATTTTATAACGAATAAGAAGTTAATATATATAGACTAAGTTTGTAAAGAAAAAAAAAAAACAAATGCATAACAACGCAAATATGTATAGTTTATACAATTTAATCAACTAATCATTGAGTTATCTCTAATATCTCTCTCAAGGTGGGTTATGGATATTCAGAAGACCTATCTTGGACATGTTAGCAGTGAAAGACACAGGAAACAAAATTTTGGTGAACATATCAACAAGTTGGTGTTGAGAGGGAATATGAGATAAAAAAATCAGTCCATCGAGAATTTTGTTACGTATGAAGTGACAATCCACTTCTATATGTTTGGTTCTTTCATGAAAGGAAGAATTTTTGGCAAGTTGGATGACAATTTAGTTATTACAGAAGGTGCAAACAGGGAGAGGAATGACGAGCCGAAGATCATCAACAACATACTTCAGCAATTGTAATTCGCAAGCCACAATGATTAATGCCCGATATTTTGCTTCTGTTGATTGCGGGACACAGTGTTATGTTTTTTTTACTTCCAAGAAATGAGGAAGTTGCTATAAAAGATGCAATAACCAGTTATGAACCTTCGAGTGGTGTGACATGTAGCCCAATCAGAATCAGAGTAGGTTTGTAATTTGTGTGGGTTCTGAACAGGATAGAAAAGGCCTTGTCTAGGAGCAGTTTTTAAGTATCTAAGGATTCGAAAAACTACCTACAAGTGAGGGATCTGGGTTGAGTCGTAAACTGACTTATTTGTTGGACAACAAAGCTGATGTCTGGACGGGTGTGTGTCAAGTACAGTAGCTTGCCAATAAGTCTTCTAAAATTGGTGGGATTAGGGATGAGTTCATCCTCATTATCAACAAGCTTAACTGAAGGGGTGGTTGGAGAATTCAGTGACTTACACCCAATAAATCCAAATTCTGAAAGAATATCTAGACAATATTTGCGTTGATTAAGGATTAAGCCACGTTTGGATCGGGTCACTTCAAAGCCCAAAAAATACTTCAAATCACCAAGATCCTTGATATGGAATTGCGTGTGAAGATATGTTTTGATGTTAGTGATCATGCAAGATTATTCCCAGTAATAACTATGTCATCAACATAGACAAGGAGGACTGTGAAAGAACTAGTTGTGTGCTTGACAAATAGAAAGTAATCTGTTGTACTCTAAACAAAATCAAAGTTGAGTAGAGAATATGTGAGCTTGACATTCCATTTCCTACTTGCTTGTCTTAACCCATATAGAGATTTGTGGAGTTTGCACACGAGTTTAGGAGAAGCAAGAGGTAGTCCTTGTGGGGGTTTTATGTAGACTTCTTCAACAAGATCACTATGTAAGAATACATTGTCGATATCTAATTATGAAGAAACCAACCGGAGGAAACATCAAGGGAGAGTAGAAACCGAACAATAGTAATCTTAACTACGGGAGAAAATGTTTCAAAAAAAATTTACCTCCTTTATTTGTGTGAAGCCCTTAGCAACCAATCTGTCCTTGTATCTTTCAATGGAACCATCCACTTTAAATTTGGTTCCGTAAACCCATTTACAACCAACAACTTTCTTGTCTGGGAGGAAGATTAACCAGTGATCATGTATTGTTTCTCTTTAAATCTTGAAGTTCGGTCATCATAGCTTTCTGCCACAGTCTAATTGGGTTGCCTCCTTGAAGGTGGTAGGATTAATACCAGAGAGAGATAAACAAAAAATAGTGTGAAAAGGAGATCAATTATCATATGAAAGATAAGAATGTAGGGGTTAAGGAGTGCTATTACAAGTGGCATTCGAAGATGCAATAGTAGGACAATGGTATTCAACCAAATATGAAGGTGACCTCTTTGTTCGTGTTGAAACTTTTGGGACTGATTCAGTGATATGTGGGTTTTCATGGGGAAGAGAGTCAATATTAGGTAAAGATGTATCATGATTATGCATGTTATTGTCATGAGAAGAATGCATTATGGAATGATGTAATGGTATGAGGTCATAAAAAAAAGTGATGTTGTCGAAGGGTGTGATGGGTGAATGTTCTCTATATGGAAAATGATATTCATAGAAAATGACATTGCGTGACATAGAAAAGGACTTGTTGATAATGTCATACAAAACATAACCTTTTGTGCTAGGTTTGAAACCAAGAAAAATGGTTTTGGAGGCATGTTTATCAAGTTTTGTTCTTCAAGTAGTAATAATAGAAGCAAAGGCAAGATAACCAAAAACTCTAATGTTTGTTAAATCTGGAACATGACCATGCACAATTTCGTAAGGGGGTTTGAGTTTTAAAAAAGGTGTGGGTAACCTGTTTATGATGTGTGTAACCTATTTCACAGCAAAAGACCAACAACAAATTAGTAAATTAGCTTGAAAGAGTAAGGCTCGACTCATATTTAATAAATGTTGATACTTTCTCTCAACTATGTTATTTTGTTGAGGAGTCTCAACATAAGATGTTTAATGTAAAATACCTTTAGTTGAGAAAAAATCATGTAATTTTTTTTTTCCATTGCCTGATCGAAGCCTTTTAAGTTTTAAATCAAATTGATTTTCAATCAACTGAATGAAAGAAGAAAGAACATTTTGACATCAGATTTAGTTTTTAAAAGATGAACCCAAGTGAATCGAGAGAAATCATCTACCACAGTTAGAAAATACTTAAAATTATTAATTGAGGAAGAGGTAACAGGACCCCAAATATTTACATGAATAAGATAAAAGAATGTAGTGCTTCTATTATTATTGGTAGGTAATGGCAAAAATTTCTGCTTTGCAAAATGACATATATCACAAGGTGTTAAACAATCAACAACCAATGTCAGTGTATTTAGAAGCTAAAAATTGCAACACTTTAGTTGAACTATGTCCTAATCTAATGTGTCATAACAGAGACATGTTGTCTGTGACAAAATGTTGTGTGTTAGTGGCATTGAGAAAATGTGATCCACATGAATTTGAGTCATTGGAATCTTGAAGAAAGAAGAGGTCATTTAATTTTTTAGTTGTACCAATCATCTGATGTATTGATTTTTGCATAATAAAACAGGTTTCAGCATAAAAGATAACCATGCAATCAATTGTAGAAACTAATTTGGGAATGGATATAAGGTTAGTAACAAAATCCGGTACTAAGGCATCAACAAGAGTTAATTTTCCAAGGGTAATATTGCCAAAAAAAATTGTAATCACAGTGGTATTATTGGGCAGTTTTATCTGAACAGGTGATATGAATTTTAAGAAAGAAAAACAAGATTGTGATGGATAAATGTGATCTGTCGCACCACTATGAAAAATCCAAGAGGAAAAGGAAGAAATATCACCTGTAGTATTAACAGAGGAACTATGAGTGTGGTTGACAGAAGACGTCTCAAGCTTAGATGACTAAAGAAGAGCTAAAATGGTTTGATATTGTTCTTTTGAGAAGCTGAATTGGTCGCATGGGGAACCGTCAACCATTGAAGATTATTGTGAGGGTGTGGCAGAGTCTACTTTAGTCAAACTTGCAGAGGATTTGGGACCAGAGAAAGAGGCACGACCAGATTTTCTATACCCAGGAGGGAAACCAATTTTCCAGTAATAGGTTTCAATTGTGTGGTTTGTTTTCTTGCAATTTTCACAATATTTTGTATTCCAATTGGTAGATTTTCCTGGATTAGTGGTCTTGGTGGCTCCAGTCAAATTCTTGTAATTGAGGTTTTTGGAAGAATCATCCAATTACGCAGAGAAGACAACTGAGTCTTGAAGAGGAAGATTGGAGACAATACCAACAAATTCTCTTTCATGTTGTAGAATCATAGATAAAATCCTGAGGATCGAAGGCATGAGATCCATGATCATTATCTGGGATCATACTTGAGAGCAGTCATCATTTAAACCACAAAGAAACTGAATGACATAATCATTCTTTTTTTTTTTTGGAGCTTTGCAAGAAGACCACAAGAACAAGATACAGGGTATTTACAAAGAAGATCTTGTGTAATAATCGGAAATTGATGAATCACCTTGTTTGCAATTCTGGATTTGATTTTGAAGATCGACAATTACAAAATTTATCGGAATGTGAGAATCTTTCTTTCAAATCTTTCCATACGTCTGAAGCGTTGATCATCTACATCATGAATTGCTTGATGGAGGTGCTTATGGAACACGCCAACCAAGTCATCACCATGTGATTGTATCTACACTAGGTGTCGTGAAGGGGGTTTGCTATTGGTGGACATGGAAGATTGTCAGTGACGAACTGCTCTTTATTTTTGGTTTTTAGGGTAACCATCATCTCTCGCTGCCATTGATGAAAATTTTTTTCCGTCAAAAAATGAGAGACGAGAACGAGCGCCACATTCTCACCGGGATGAAGATACAGAGGATTGGTCGGATTAATGAGATGATCCAGTGTTGAGTTGTTTTGGCTGAGTTTAGCCATGATCGATCAACAAAAAAAAAAGATGTGCAAAAGAGAATAAGAGTTTTAGCAATCTGATATCATATTAGATTTTTTTAGAACATAAATGTATCTCTTTATTTATTGATAAACTCACTTTATAATAAATAGAAACTTAACGTATATAAGCTAAGTTTGTAAAGGAAAAAAAGAAAAATAAATACATAGCAACGGACACAACTATTTATACAACATAATCAACTAATCATTGAGTTGTCCAAACTATTGAAGACCAAACTTAAACTTTTACGAATTTTTTTTTTCATAATTTAATGAGTTTTAAAATCTTAATGTTCAGACAAGTTTAATTTATAACCATTAATTTAATTATCTTCTTCAACTCAATCAAATTCGTCCTTTATATTAATTGTTTCGATACTGTTTTACTATACTATCCAATAAAATAATTAACTTATTACTATTAAAAAATTGAAAATTAGATTAAATAGACTAATGAAGATGTTTATTAAATATGTTCTCTGTCACACAAAAGTACATATAACTGATTCACTCTTCAATTACTTTTGATACTTTAAAGCTTAATTTCAAAATAGCACCTATATATAGTTAGAATTGATGCTTGTATGTTTTGAGTAATTTAAGTTGTATTTGAAGCATTGAATTAATTTATTTTGAAGATTTTAAATAAATTAAAAAAAAAGTATAATTTGTCTTAAACTTCAATTTAAAAAGGCAGAAATAGCTGAATGGTCGACGTATTTGCTGATAGTAATACATAATTAATAAGTTTTCACTAAAACAAGCATATTAATGTTGACTTGAAGTCGGTTTAATAAATTTTACTTGTGTATGTTCGTGACCGATTTTTGCAGCTAATTGTCAACATTATTGTAGTCACAAGAAATTATGAATTATATACGTACAAGGATTATTCAACTAATTAATTATATCGTTATTAATTGGCAGGAGGATTTATTAACACTATTGTTTGGTTTTTACTCAAATTACTATTAGGTTTCAATCATCCTTTTGGGAAGAAACCTAAGGTTTATGTGTGCATGACTTTATTCATGTAAACAATTTACTAGTTAATTGTTGGGTTGATCTTATAAGTTGAAAATTTTTAAATTTTTCAAATCCAATTTGTTTCAGGTAAGTGGAGAGGGTCTTCTAATTCAATAAAAAATGTTAATTTTTGCGGTTGCTGAAAAAAAAAAAAAATCAAAGATTCTTTTACATTTAAATTGTTGTACTTAGTACGTTCATGGTTAAACTAGAAATTGGATACTGATGCTGATAGAGATCGAGATCTCTTCTCAGTTGCATCATTTAGTAGTAGTCTTGATATATTGACACCCACCTACCAAAAACAACTTATAGACAACTTGATTTTATTAATATAATAATTATTAAAGGATTTAATAAAAATAAAAATAATTTAAAATTATTATTATAATATAAAAGACAATGGTTAAGGATGTTTGTGAGAATCCTGATGTCAAAATATATTTTTCCTGGAAAGTACGTGATTTGATAAATCAATTTTAATTGACGTTTTGTTACTGAAGTTTCTTTTTCAAAATTTGATTATTTTAATGTATTAACTGCTATAAGTGTGTATTTATGTTTTTAATTAAACTTTTTCTTTTATAATTTATTTCATAGAAGAGAAACTTTAGACACCTTTTTAATAAAAATATTTAAAAATAAAATTAAATATTTTGATATAGATCTCACCTAAATTATTTAAAATTTTCTTAAAATTATTTATATAAACAATTTTTTTTAAACTATTTTTAAGTAATTTATATATAAAAATAAAATTAAATATTTTGTTATAGATCTCCCATAAATTATTTAAAATTTTCTCAAAATTATTTATATAAACAATTTTTTTTTAAACTATTTTTAAGTAATTTATATATATAATTCATAATAAAAAATATTAAATAACTAGTTAGAAATGTTCCAAATAACTCACTTCTATTCCCAAAATATTTATTTTTTATTGAGAATCTTTTATATGAAAAAATATTTGTCTCTCGTAATGATTATTTTAATTTATTATTACTCTTGGCATATTGTTACAAATTAGGAAAATGATTTCCACGAGGTTCGATTTTTTTTTTCTCATATTATTGTTTTCCTATCATAAATCAATGACAAGGCAATAATATAATATAATCCATAAATGTTTATTAGTCAATGATTGATAGACAAAGCGAATAACTTCTTATGTTGACCAATAGAAAAACATGCAGAAACCTAGTCTGCAGATGTGGTACGGACAAACAAATAAAACATATGGAGGATATACGTTTAAAATCATTACAATACTTACAATGAAATTACTCCACAGGTCTTGGATAAGAAGCTTTCTTAGCGACACCACAAACACCTCCAGGTTCACCACTTTCCCTGAGCAACCTCATGTACCCATTTTCTCCCCAACTCCCACCCCATGAATTCTTGATCAACCAGTACTTTTGGCCATCTTCGGTGGTGCCATAACCAATAACAGTAACCGCGTGGTTTAGATCAGTGCCACATGGCCCTTCATATATACCTCCATAGTATGACTGAAAGTTTTGATTGACAGCAACCGCAACTGACACTGGTTGGTAGGCCACGGCTTGTAATAGATGCTCTTCACTATCTGCAACAACATCTTGAAAATCCCTTATTTGAGGTGCGGCTTGTTTTATTTCCCTGCATGTTCCAGCAACTCCAAGGTATGGATAATCGCTATCGGTGGCGATACTGTTTCCTACGATATATTTGAAGGCATTATCCATGGAACCTCCGTCACACCCATTGTTATCGTTATCACAGTCCACCAACTGTTGCTCGGACAATGGCATCAATTTATTTGTTGTTATTTGGACTATGCCTTCGACAGCTGCCACAGCTGAAAACGCCCAACAGGATCCTGTCCCACCCACCAATTTAATACCATCAGTAACATTTCATTCATTAATCAGTTTCACAAAAAAACATTAAGAGAGAGACTTCGCAAATTGAAATCAGCAATACATATATCTTAATATACTTAAAGCACAAGATGTCATTGCATACCACATTGTCCTTGGTCCTTAACATCGGTGACAGCTCCTTTGTCTCTCCAATCCCTGCTTTCTGGAATGTTAGTCAGAGTCAAGGGTACTGTAACGGAGTCTGAGGTTGACCGTCCTAGCTGGCTTGAAGTAGTCTTCAGTCCGGTGTGTGAAGCGATAAACTCGTCCTCCTTTAAGTCAGAGAATTGATTCAGCCCCAACTTGTAACTCTTGTTCCCAGCATTGTTGAACTTCTCTATGTATTCCAAGTTCTCCTTAAATATTTTGAACCGTATTTGCTTCTCCGCATCACCTGCATATTCGCGTCCGTACTGGGACGTCCAGTGCTGGTATGCTTCAGCAACAGAAGATTCATACGATGTTCGGGCCATGGCTGGGTATGCACATGTCCACAGCATCACAGCGCAAACAGCAATGACATGATTAATTTCAACTGAAATAGCCATTTTCTTCAGACAGAAGAGAAGAGAAGAGAAGTGAAAGTAGCTATGAAAAGAGAGCATACATTGGGGAAAATTTATAGCATTCAAAATCCTATCGCTGCCAATAATCTCCATAGGTATAACTGTGACTAATCATCTTTTTCCTCCTTACGCAAGTCACGCACCACGTGACGAGAGGTGAGAATAAAAAAACAATTGTAGTCAATCTCATTTTCATCAAATTCTATATTATTGGACTAAATATACCAGAAATTTGCTTCACATTTTCTTAATCATTTAATTTATAACCTAAATGGTAATAATTTGGGTTAACTTAATCATTTTATTATTATTTAAAATATTTGGGAATCCAAACTGCTCAGCCTGTGGAGCCTAAAATTCACTTCTTGAAGTATTCAAAGTGGGTTTTGAAGGAAAAAATAATAATAATAGTAAGTTTTGTTCTTATATATTAGATACATATAACAGTTTTCTGTTGAAAATGACGATGCTGGAAATGAAAGTTTTGTGCACCAAACTAAAATTAGATCTGGACATGGCTAGCCATCATGCAGGATGAAGAACTTTTCCTTCTCTTTCTGTGAATGTTCTTCGAAATGCTTAAAAAAATACTCTAGTATATACATGTAAAAGTAACAGCAGTAATTTATATATATGTAAGAAACTAAAAGGTAGTAAGCTAATAATAGTAAAGCTTTTATTATGATGTACAAATATTATATATAAATGGTCAACAGATAATTCTTGATTTACACAGAGATTATTTAGCTGGATTTAAATGACAGATGTTTTATTAACTCCAGATAATTAAAGGCGGGTCTGTCAAACAGTAGTTTATCTGGGAAACAGTATAAGTGGTATTGAAGTCAATAACAGGTTACAGCGTAAAATAAAATGGCACGGAGGATTTGGCGATTTGCAGAGTTAGACGTGAATAATGGGTTAACCGATAACCCATCCAACACGAGACGACGATATGAAGGGTGACATTCAATGCCAAAAATCAGCATGACAAAACTACATTCAATTCAACGCCAATAAAATGCATGGGATTTCATTAAATAATATCAATTTTATTCTTTATTTAATAAATCCTATTAAATTAAAAAACAGCTAATTAGGTATTGATATCATTTTTCTTATTTATTTATATATATATATATATATATATATATATATAATTTTTTTGTAAAACCTTCTTTATATGTTTATGAGCTGTTTTGATAAACATATTTTCTTCCTGGATTGGCGCATGAGATATGGAATTCTTGGATGTGATGAACTCGTATCAGCTAAGTTTTGATTGAATTTCAAATAAACAAGATGAGAAGACAAATCTTCAATTTTCTCTGCATAATAAATTCCACAAAGACTGAAACTCTAGAAAATTGAGTACGAGAGTTCAATGATTTGCAGGTAAGTGAAATTAGTTAGACTTAGGTAGATACTTCAATCTAAAGTGTGATAAATAGGTTAGCTTATAACAAAAAAAAATTGATTTAAATTAAATCAGATTTTAGTTTGATTAAGTCAAATAGATCTAGAATAATAATTTTTTTAAAATAAAATTAATATTATTTTATTAATATATATATATATATATATATATATATAATTTGATAAAGAATTCACGTAAATATTTAAATAAGTTTTTTATAATCATTTATTTTAAGATATAATTATTAAAATAAATTATTATTTTAAATTAATAAAATACTAAAAAAATAATTAATAACATTAAAAAATAAGTTTATAATTTTTTATTTTGATATTGAATAAATTTATTCTTGTATAATTTATATATTAAATTATTATATCTTAATAAAATTAATTTTATTTTTTATTTTTTATTTTTTATTTTTATTTAAATATTTGTTAAACTAAAGAAACAAGAATAATAATTAGAAAGTCTATAATTAAGAGATAAGAATTTTGTGAAATTTTTAAGATGGTATGTTTTACTATTATCCAATAAAATAATGTATTTCTATTACAAAAATAGAAAATTAAATTAAAGAATAAGCAAATATGTTGTAGATTAAAGGCATTCCATGAGCACTTAATGGGATAATCATTGTGCGGAAATGGAAGTAATATATATCATAATCTGCACCACTTAACTAGTAGTGGATCTTGACCATTAATTTTGGGCTCAAATAATATATTATTAATAAATAATAAATAAATATAAAATGAAGAAAGAAGATGAAAGGATAAAATTGTAGATATATACTTAAATATATTAAATGATCATTAAGTTTAAGGGAACAAAATCATATGAAAGATTTAAGTTTGGGAAGACCAAAATTATAAATCACATGAGAATTATAAAACTTTACTGGGTCACCATCCCTCAACTCCCTGCACTTAACGAATCTCTTGTCTCTCAATGAAGAGAAAGACATCATCCCATTGCTTATCCTCAATATGACTTTGATAAGAGTTTATGAAATTATAAAAGTTTATTTAAACACTTGAATTGATGGCTAGTTTAGGATTTAAGGCTCAATAAGCAAACATGCAATGCTAGTTTGTTTTCAATTATACAAAACGTGCTTTCACACGTCTCAAATATAAGCAGTTTCTGAATCTATCTGCCTCTAGTTGACGCATTAACACAAAATACCCACGTCTTACACATGATATTACCATCCAAGAACGCTGTCAATATACTCTGGACACACCTTCAAACCTTCATATGGATTTTATTAAATATAGAATCAATTTTATTCATTATTCAATAAATCATAAAGCTTGTTATTTGTTTGATTCAATAAAGTGTTGAAAATAGGTGAATATATATAGTATTTTTTTTTAAATTACTTTATAAGTTCATATTAAGCCGTTTTTATATGGAATTCTTTACTTCCGCAAGGATAAATAAACCCTTATCACTAAAGTTGAACCCTAAAACAAATTAGACGACAAATCTTCGATTTAATAAACTTGAATTTTAAAAAGAAAAATCAATTTAGTTAACAGATTAATTCTAAAATCACTGTAAAACACTACTCTTTTTGTCCAAAATAATTATTCTAATTTATTTAGAGAAATGATTGTGAACTTCGTATTTTACGTAACGATCTATTTTCTTTTTCTCTGGTAATAGGACAAATTTTAATGAAATTAGTCGCTAATTAACTTTTAACTATTTGTCAATTTTTTAAAATTATACAAAATATTAAGGATGTTGACATTCAATTTAAGCGTTGAATATCGCCAAAGTGATTAAAACGTATTTATTTTATACAAATTAAAAATATATTTAAGCCTATAAAAACTGATAATATTATTTGCGTGAGGCCTTCAATCTTGGAGCAGAAAATTTAACCGAACTAACTCTAAGGCATAGTATGCCACTAATGTCATGTTATCTCAACAGCACAGGAGTACCTCTTGTTGAAAGCTAAAAGATCTAATTTGATTTTCATCAAACAACTTTGTGCCTTCAAATATATTCTACGATCAAACAAACATAAAGGTAGAAAGAACCACTGTTAGGAAAAATATGAAAAGCTCGAAATGCAGACAAGTTGGGAGGAATGAATACATTAAGCCACTGAAACAGAAGATATTCTCGCCACTATTTTCCACTATTTGGGTGGGACTTGGTGCACAGGACTTTCCGTCCCTTGGCACGTCGTCGCCTTAAAATAGCTCTTCCACCTGGTGTGCTCATTCGTTTGCGGAAACCATGAGTGCGTGCCAATGATTTTCTTGATCTGTTTCTCTTGGTCTGACAAAGAGCAGCCTTGCCTGCCCTCACAACCAACCCAGAACCTTTTCCTCTTCTGACCCCAACATTAGATGTCAAATCCAATCCAAGTGACATCCCTTAACATTAACAATTTAGTTGAGGTCAAGTTAATCTAAGTCTGAACAAGGATTTTATACATACATACACACACACACACACACACACACACACACACATATATATATATATATATATATATATATACATGTATATATACAGATTACACAATCAAAAATAAATTATTCTCTAGGAAGTTTCACTGGCAAAATATGTTGAATTTTAATAGAGTGAGTATTTGCTTGCGTTCTTTAGTGCTCTCAATGATGTTTATGAAAGGATGTTTTTGAGATATTTCAACTGATGCAAGCTATTGGTCTCATTGGACTTTCTTCTCCTTCACAACCAACAAAAATCCTCTGATCCAGGAGGATCAATAAACTCAACCTCCGTATCAATAACTAGTCAACTAAACCATTAAAGTTCTGGAATCAATTGTGCTTGTGTCACTGTTGGAGTTCAAGTGTATTCACACACTATTAGAAAATTGGTAATTTAAGTAATATACTAGTGAGAAACACCATAGATATGTTTTAAGGTTTTGGTTGAAATTAGTGTCCCGTGCTCTTGTATGTTACCACTTTGTACTACTAAAATCAGATCTTCCTTAGAGAAAGAAAAACAAGGAATTTCATCACCACAACTAAAACCATTGCTGCACTCATTCAGCATCTTAAATTTTCATTGAGGGATACTAGTATAGAATTAAGAATAAAACAGTTCTACTCAAAATTGAATACACCAAAATATAGCCGTGAAGAGACAGCAAGATCATTGGATCCGTTCTGACTAGATAACATTTTTAGACTTCAGAGTTGCTAATCATATTTAATCCACAAACCAAAATGTAAAAAATGCAACCATTTTAAACTGGTATAGTTCTAAACAGCGATAAAAAGCCAGTAATGGTACTCGTTTACTACTTGCCTTCACTTACAACCCAACCTCAGTGTTTCATCAACAAGTAGTGGCATCAACTCCAACTTGACATAAATTGACCAAAAAAAACATATAAAAACCAGAACAGCAACTCCGTTCCAAAATGTATCCTTGTTCAAGTTAAATTAAAACCAACCAAAAAATGCTTCTTTTATTTTCAAATCTCAGCAGCAACATAAACCCCTAAATCCCTATTAAAACAAAGAGAAGCCAATTCCTATTCAATACTGCCACACTTTCAACTAAAACAGCTATTGAAAAAAGTTTTAAGCTTGGCATACTATACATTGATAACGAAAAATTCAGAACTTTCGAAATAAAACTACACAAACCCATGTTAAACAAGGCAGAACGACATTCACCCGGAGTACCCAGTTTCAAAACGACCCAGTGCGTAATCAATGAAGAATCACGTGGAAGGAAAAAATAAATAAATAAAAGAGTACCCAGATGGGAAATAAAGGCGAGAAGTACCTGAAATGTAGGAAGAGGAAGAGAGATGGAAAGGAGAGGAGAGGAAGGAGCAATGGAGGACTCGGAAGCGAACGTTAGAGAAACTGCTGTGAGTAACATTCAGAGAGAGTGAGGATGGTTTTGGGGCAATGAGAATGAGAGAAGCTGAGGGAGTCGGTGCTCTCACGGCTATGCAAAGCGATAAGGAAGCCATTATCCACCTCCCTTCAGCTATGCACTAGTTTTTGTAGATTCATTCGGACAGTAGCTTTATACTTGTAAATCTTGTTTTATAAAATTTATCATCTGGGGATGTAGCTCAAATGGTAGAGCGCTCGCTTTGCATGCGAGAGGTACAGGGTTCGATCCCCTGCATCTCCATTATTTTTCATAAAAATTGTATTTTAATCAAAATTTTTTTTTATCTCGACTAATTTTCATAAATGTTGTGTTTTAATCAATTTTCTATATTTTGTATAAAATCAATTTATTTTTTAAATATTTTGTTTAATCAGTTCTATGGTATAATAAATTACATTAGAAGACACTATAATTATTATATTTCTTTATCGTATTTATTATCTCATCTTTATTAAGTTTACTATTTTATTTATTTATTTTATTATTATTATTATAAATATTTTTTTGACAAAATATTTATTATTTTTGCGTATACAAAATATTTATTATAATAACTTTGATTTAGCATGTTAAAAATATAAATATGTATTAAAATAATTATCAAGGTTTAATATTATTATAACTAATTGTGTAAATTGATAAATATTTTAAGTTATTAGTTATTATAATAAATATATATTACATTTATTTTGTATTTTTAAAAATTGATTTCATTACTAAAATTAAATAAAGTTTACCGTAATGATTGCTATTTTTGAATAGGAAAAAAACTACATATATTCAGTATTTCTGAATTTTTTCTCAAATAATTTAATAACAGTTAATTAATTTGAATATTTTATATTTAATACTACTTTTAAAAATGAATTACTTAAAAAATAATAATTTCATTGAATAATTAATTTTCAAAATATTATTATCAAAATATCAAACCATGAATTAAATTATTTTAGTTATAATACAATAACATTTTAATTTTAATACGATAACCTAACTAAATAGCATATAATTTAACTATGCATTACTACTAAATTAAAATACTAATAATTATAAAACATTTAAATTTATATTTAAAGTCATCACATATTTATATTGTTTATATATATAACAAATATTTTATAAAACTAAAACATAATATAAATTATATTAATATTTATATATTTGTGCAGCTCAAGATTAACCCGCACAAATCACTTATAAAATAAAGAAAGAACTTGAACAGTAAAAAGGTTTCAATCCAATCCCTTAACATTAAAATTGTCCCTATCAATAGTCCGAGCAACCAGCAGAAAAACACAAAAGTTTAAAACAATAAAAAAAAAAACAGAACAAAGAGAGAATCATGGAACAGTGACAAATTACCACGTTTGGGTGGGAGAAACATAAATATATCTGGGCTGGATCCATACTCCTTTAAGACGACGGCTTTCTGGCTGAGTTTTTGCCTCAATGCATTCACTCCGAATTATCCAATCACATAGACCACTGAAGTGTGGAACTACAGTCCCACATGTAGAAATTGAATCATTTGCATTCAATAATCCTATTTCTCTCCTATCATGCTTCATTTGAAGAGTATTCTTACGTATCATATAATTCAACAATGTAGACGGAGAAGATTTGTCTGTGGACATACGCATGTACAACTTGTTCCATTGTTTGGTTGGAGTAGAAGGGTTGAAAGTAACCAAACCACTATCTCCATCCAAAAAATGAAATTCTTTGTTTTCATAAAACAAAGCTGTTGTTATTTTACTAAACTTGTAACCCGAAAAGCAACTATGACCCCATTCATTTTCTCCTCTGCGAAGAATGAACAGACGTAATTCTGTATCACTGCTACTGTCAAGCAGCACAACCATGCAATCTTCAGAAGTGGGGACTGCCGAAAAAGCTCCAACATGATCAGATACGTCATTTAAAGGACAACTTGGAAGCTCTATTCTTGCTTTGGAGAAAGGGGAAAAGAAGAACAATGACTCATCAACAAAGAGAAGCAACCACCCTTCATATGATGCAAGGCACGTTGCTCCATCAAGTTCTGGAAGGTTGATGGTGTAACACTTGTTCTGGTCGCTTACCAAGGAACACTCAGAACCTTCCCCTCCATACTGGAGAAACCAAGGATCATACAGAATGGCGTTATCATCTGGTGATAGTTGGGAGGAAGCAGTGTTCCAATCTTTGCAAACACCACGGAAACTGAGAAAGTCAATAAGCCCTAAACCATTAGCAATTTGTGAGAGTAGGTCACGAGGCAGATCAGACCATTTCTCTGTCATTCTTGTATTTTTGTGATTGAATCTCACAATAATTCACCCTCCATCATAGAAATATATGTATATAAATATGCATAATTCTTTCTATATATGGAATATGAAGCGTTATTGTTACTCTCCTTCCTTCTAGTCAAATTTGTTTTCCTTTCAGTAACAGACCAACAAATCTCAACAACTTAAACATGAACATATTTCAAATTAATATATCTTTAAAATTATGAATGTTGGATAATTTATAATTAATATATTTTTTCCTTTTCATCTCTATTTAAATTTATGTTAATCACTTTATCTAAATACTTTTTTATTATTTTAAAAAATATATTTAAAATCTAGTTTATGATCAATAATTACAAAAAATAAAAACACATCCATCTATATTACATAATTCTAATTCCAGGCTCTTTAATTATTAAAATCTCATAGATAACAGTGTTTATTTCAAATTTTAAAGCTTCTGTACACCTGATAGTTTATATTTGAAAAATCTATAATTATAATAATCTATAATCTTTTTTTATATATATAATTACAAAAACTGAACCCTCTCATTTTACTTTCCAAAATCTCTCATCTAATTTTCAGGAACTAAATGTATAGGCAACGTATAATTTATTATTCAAATACCAACTTAAAAATTTTAAAATTATTTTAAATTAACTTAAATACAGTATAATTATACTAATAGTTTTTTCATGATTTTATAGCATATAAAATATTAGAAGAAATATTAAATATATATTCAGGATTTGTAACATGATACATTAAAAGTTTTTATTTCTTACTAAATCTACATAATTCAACTCATTATTAACAATAATTTTGATTAAATGAAATTAAATTATTTAGATCTCCTTGATATATACATATAATATCTTATTAAGGTTTGTTATGATTTTTTAATATTTATTGTTAAAATAATTAGGAGAAATTATTATAAATATAATCAGATTTTGTGTTATTATGATTTTTATAATATTTATGATTAAAATTGGAGATATTATTATAAATATAAACAGATTTGTGCTATACTATATTAAAAAATTATATTTTTACAATAAATATTACTCATGTGCATAATTTAGTTTAAATAAAATCAAATTATTCAAATCCTTGAGATATTAGTATTAATATCTTATTCATGTTTAGATTATGCTTTTATAATATTTATTATTAAAAAATAGAAAAATAATTATGTATATATTCAGATTTGGTTGTATAATAATACATATACAATGCATAATTTTTTTATTAAAAATGATTTTGATTAATGAAATCATATTATTATTATTATTATTATTATTATTATTATTATTATTATTATTATTATTATTATTATTATTATTATAATCTTTGTGTTAAGAACTAAAATGGACTACATGGAAAAATATGTTAAAACTGTTTACTTTGCTTAAAATAATATAGTTTTAACCAACAAATTATATATCTGAAAAATATATTCCATTTCCAATTTACATTAAATTTTTATAAGGATTTTTAAATTGGATTTGTTATGTCTTCATCTTAATAATTTTTATATATATTTTTTAAAATTTTTTCCATTTAAAAAAAATCTTTATAATTTTTAATTAACGTAGATTTTGTTTCTATCAAGTTTGAATATATGAAGCAACTTTATTTTTTAAGTCAAATTTCTTATAATAGGTTTTTTTTAACTTTTTTAACAAAAAGTAAATAATATATCTTATAAACAATTGTATTGATCTAAGGAATGTTTTTTAAATTTTAGCATTACTTGTAGATACAATGTTCTATAATAAAAAACATAAGAAATAAATAAAAAAATATCTCATAAAGAATTTTTTTACCTAAATATTTTTAATAGCCTTAAATTATCTCTCAATTTTTTTAGATTTTATTTTTCATTTTTTTCTTTTTAATTATAAAAATTATTTATTTATTTATTTTGTTACTATTATTCCTTTATATTTAAAGGTTTGAAAATTAAAAAAAAAATCATTATATATAAAATTTTAAAAATTATTAAAATAATTTATAAGTACCCTACACGGGTGGATACGCTATTATTCTTCAAAATTTAAGTGAAAAAAGATTGTTATGATGTCTGTTATAAAATCAGTTATATTTATTTTAATAATAAAATGTTGTGCATATCTGCTCTTCATTTACAATTTTTTGAATTTTAAGTACCACTTTAAATAAATCAAGAGCATTGATCGATGTCGTACTTCGGTCAAATAATTAAAACACATAAATGTAGTACTAGGAAACTTTCTTAGGTCGTCTCCCAAAGACCACAAGTTTCTATTAAAGTTTATCAATTTTTAAATTTAGAACATAAAAAAAAAGGAAGTTTTTCAAAATAAAAATATTAGATGAAATAGAACAAAAGCAGATTATAAAAATGTGGATTAAAAACATATTAAAATGCAATTGATTTCCGATTCTAATGCGAGTGTCACTTATTCTAGATTACGAAATTAATTTGAAATTAACCAACTAAGCGAAGATAAATCTCAAATTATATTCTAATTCGAAATTAATCAACTAAGCGAAGATTAATCTCAAATTAGCTTTAACCCTTGTTCCAATTCGAAATTAACTAACTAAGCGAAGATTAATCCCAAATTTTCCTTAACCCTTATTCCAACATGAAATTAACCAACTAAGCGAAGATTAACCCCAAATTATCCTTATACAATTAAGCATTGAATACATCACATAATCTCATCTCTAACACAGAATTAAGCAAACTGTGATATTAGTTTCGGTTTATTAAGCATAAACAGATTATAATTCAACACTGAGATTAGAAGATGAAGAGTTAAGAGAACAAACAAAATGAAATTGAAGAACAAAACCTCAAATATCTACTTGCATTCTTCTCAGAAAATTAATACAAAGATTTAGCTATCCATGGAAAGTTGAAAACGCAGTAGAAGAAACATAATTAAAATCGAAGCAAGAATTTAAAAATAATGACAGAAGAGTAAACAAACTTAAATATAAATTGCAGAAGATGAAAGACAGCTGTGTGGTGGTTTCATGGCAGCAGAAAACGAAATTGAACAAAACTTTTAATGAGCCTTGAGCAGTCCAAATTAAAATGCAGAGAAAACCAGCATGAAAACAAACGTGAAACAAAACTACAGTGGCTGCCTCTCTCCTCCTCCTATTGCTCCTCTAAAAATACCAGTCTACCCTAACCCTAGAGTCCCCTAGGAATGGGCCCAAGCTGGCCCACACGGGATTACACATCAAACAAACCCTAGCTGACGTGGCAATCATTAATATGATGTGGAAATAGCAACTGACGTGGCAGTGACATGGTAGTGATATGGAAGGTGACATGGCAGGAGACGTGATAGTTAACATGGCAATGATGTGGAAACTCTCTTCATCTCAATATTAATGTCCATACTTCAAAATTGTTTCACCAAAAATACCTAAAAATAATTAGAAACGAAAATTAGACCAATTAATGCTAAATTAAGCAAAATTTGGAATAATGGTCCAATGAAGCCCGATCAATGAAAATGCACTAATAATAGACAATTAAACACAATGCACCAATTAAGATAAGTACATAAAGATAAGAAAATGCGGGAAAATAATGGCTCATCAAATTCCCCCACACTTAGCCTTTTGCACTCCCGGGCAAAATCAAGAAGCAAAGCAAGGAGCAATTCCAAAGACATCGAAGAGAGTGACACAACAAAAAGGAGCAAGAACAAGAAGACACACAAAACACAAACAAATTTACATAATCCTTAATGAATCCTGGGAAAAGAAAGGAGTAGATAACATCAAACACACAAAGAGTCAGAGAAACCAGATACTCATGGAAATCATCCAAGCATTTCAAAACCTGGCAAGAGGTCAATCAGGTCAAAAGGTGAATCAAAGTTGAAAGTGATCCTAGCAAAGATCTCATTGATTTGATGAAGTCAAAGATAAAGTCAAGGGTCAACTCTGCAGCAGTCAAACAAGTCACTCGGGAGAATGGAGTCGAAGACTTAGTGTGTCTTAACGAAAGCTTAGGTAAAACCACTTTACCTTTTCCACTCGCATAAAGCTTCTTCACTCATCTTGCAAAATGCCTCAAAAACAGTTTTTAACAAATAAAAAACAAAAGCATTTTGGCAAAGAATTTTCTTAAACAAGTTATTAACTGATACAGGTTTGAAAGAATCAATTTAAAACACTTAGAATGTTTTAAAAAGTGTTTTTACAATATTTTAATCGATACAAACTTCTTTTAATCGATTAAAACTCTTTATGACCGATTAGAATTCGAATGTAATAGGTCGAATGCAATATAATCGATCAGATCTTAAATATGAGCGATTAGAATTATTTTAATCGATTAAAACACGTTTCAATCGATTAAAATCACTCTGGATGTCGAGTATGATCGATCGTAATGAGATTATGACCGATCGAGTTGGTTATGATCGATCGAATTGAATTATGACCGATCAGACTTATTTCAATCGATTAAAACGCATTTCAATCGATTAAAATAACTTAGAAAATCTTTTCAATCGATTAAAACGAACTTTCAATCGATTAAAATGACTTGAAAATATATGTGCAGATTTTCAATCGATTGAAACGACTTTATATCAGCTTAAAATAACTTGGAAAGTTTTATAAGAAGGTTTTTAAACAAATCAATCGATTAATACGCGATTCAATCGATTGTTTTATACTTTGAAAATGTTTGTAAAACGTTTTAACTGATAAAAACGTGGTCGTATCAACTAAAACATTTTCTCGTTAAAGATCAAGAACGCATTAATGGGTTGAAAGGACTTTTAACAGATTATAACGGCTATTTCAACAGATTAAAACAAACTTTCAACAGATTAATTAATGCAGCAGATTTGAAAATACTCTTTTATAAACAGATTTGCTTGAAACTTTGAGATATAGATCACATATCAGCTTTGACACAATTCAAGCAATCAATACAAGCAACTATTAGCATTTTTCAAGAAAGATACACAACTGTTTTTGTG